CAATCTGACGGTTAGAATGCCTTATCGTCAGGGACAGACCAAACACGCCATAGTAGAAAGCTCGAGAGCCCCGTGACTTCATCCCAACTTCGTCTCAGACGCGTGTGCGTGCAATCTTCTCCTACCGCGATTCCCCTCTCTACATCCCCAGTCCTTCCGTACGGATCTCTCTCCCTCTATATCTCTATACATATGATTTACGCTTTTTAATAAGTAATTAAGTTGAATATGTCTGCTTATGTGAAGCCTTGTGTTTGACAATCTGCAGACCTCGATCTAGATCGTCCAGCATCGAGTGCGTTGACCCTTTCAATCAGTTTCCGATTCAAGATCCGGTGATCCTTTTTTATGTATGTTTCGGGTTGTTTTGGATTCAGATCTTGAATTTCTTATGATTAGAAATGGTAGACATTCTGGTAGATGGTGATGGTTTTACATCTTAATTTCTGTCTAGGGTTTCTTCTGTAAGATAGTTATTGGTTGTTTATTCATGTTTTTGTTATTGATTTGTTCAAATAAAATGTCCAGATGCTTAAAAGTAGGATGTTAAAAGGGACTAGTTAGAAAGTCATATGGCACATGGACATAGTAGATCTTCGCAGAAGGATGAACATTTCCATGTAATTATTATGCTTGTCCTCTTGTTAAAATCTTGTTTTTTTGAGCTTCTTACCTTTTCTTCCCTAATTGACCCGCCTAAGCCAGTCTATACTCCGCTTATAGCTTCTAATGCAGTCTTAGATAAGTTGGTTGTCTATTACCACAGTGTAAAAACAAATAGATATCTCTAAGGGATTTGGAAAGAGAGAAAAAACTAAGGCCGGGGTATACCAATAAAGTATGCAACTTTAGGTTGCTGTACTATTGATTTGTTTTACGATCTAGCCTTCTATTGGTAAAATGTTGTCCTCTATATAACTTTGCTTTGCACACCGACTCCAGAGTTGCCTGCGATTGTTGGATGAGCAAGGCCTATGAGTCAGGGGAAGGCTCTGTGAAAGGTTCAGGGACTGCCGGAACCCTTCCAGAAAAAGAGTGATGGTATTTCCAACACCATTGAGTAAAGGGTATTAGGAATAAAAACTTGTTAGTTTGTTAGTCTTCTTATTTACGACAAAATAAATATTATTGTTCAGGATCAAAAACACGTTTTTTTTTTACTTTGTCAGTCTTATTTATGAAAAGTAGCCATGTTTTAATCATATTTGGAGTAATTTATTTACTTTTCTGAAAATTCACCACGCTTGTGCCTAAAACATAACCGGTTTTCCCAACGATGACTTGTAATACTTTTTTGTTTGTGTAAATATATAATATGTCTAGAATAAAAATATGTTACTCTTCTTTATCTAGGACTAAATAGATATTTATTAGTAACATGTTAGTCTTACTTGGAGAAAGTGCTATTTTTAGTCATATTGGGTCATCATTTCTTGCTCATATCATTCTTCAAACCTTTCACGTAATCTTTCCCTATAGTCATGTACGGTGTACCTGATTTGATTCTTGTTGAATTTAATAACCCACTCTTATAGTATATTATGATATGTCTTTAATATATAGTTCATAATCCCTGGAAAATGTGCATAAGTAATGGAAAATTTGATCATCGTTCGTGGTGTCTCAATTTTTTTGCAGTACACTATAAAATGATTCGCTCACAAGATTCTCAGCGCCCCCATTTGCACTTCAAGAATCCCTTTTCGGTTATACTACCTAAAGGCTCATCACACTTATCCCCCAGGCTCCTCTCTCTTTTGAATGCTTTCGAGAAATCATTGGCTGAGAAACTCACAAGTCTCAAGCCCGGAGGCGGGGTTCATGCACTGAGTTTCTCATGGATGAAAGAAGCTATGGCTTCACTCGCTGCAATACACAGCAGTGTCCAAACCCTGGTCAAAGAACTTGACCTTCCGGTGTGTGGATGGGATGAGAAGTGGCTTGATGTCTACATGGACAACAGCGTGGGCTTGCTTGATATATGCACTGCTTTCAGCTCTGAGATTTTGAGGCTTAACCAAGGCAACCTTTACCTCCGGTGCACCGTGCATACTCTAGACAGCGAACCGAAGCAGTTCCATGCACGAGCGAGGTCGTCTTTGGACGGATGGAGGAGCCGACTGGGTTCCAAAAACCCACGGATTGAGAATTGCTCTTTGATTTTGGACCGTCTCATCGAGAGCCTGAAGTTCCCTAAGAAGAAAGATTCTGGGAAAGAGAGAGTTTTGATGAAAGCGTTGTATGGCGTCCGGGTGGTGACCATTTTTTTCTGCAGTGTGTTTGCCACTGCCTTCTCTGGTTCTGCTGGAGGGAAGTTGAAGAAGAATTTTGAGGCGCTTGAGGGTTGTTTTTGGGCAGATGCCTTTACTGACCTTCAGAGTTCTGTGAACGAAGAAATAGAGGGCGGTGGAGGGGTGACCAGACTGAAGGAGGTTGAAAATGTTGATGCAAGTGTGAATAAGCTATACCCCATTGTTGAGTCTGACAAAGTTGAAGGAGAATTATTAATATCATTGTCAAATGCAACTTCGGAGTTAAGACAGAATGCTGATAAGCTCTCTGAAGGGCTCGATCTGTTGGGGAAGGAAGTCGATGGATTCTTTAGGATTGTTCTGACAGCACGTGACGCAATGCTTTCTAACATTAGAGTTGGTAGCCATAAGGTATCTAAATCAAAAAAAGAGAAGCTGTATAGAGGGGCAAATTATGATGTTAAGAATAGCTAGCTACTGGGAACATGAGTCTTCTTGTGTATACAAAGGGGCTGCCTAAGTGTGTGTGTGAGTGGTTGGGTGTGGGGCGGATTTGATGTAATATGGTTCAATATGTGGCGTTCAACCTCTACTTAATTGCCAAAATGTGTAGAGCAATGTTTGTGATAAAAAGTTGTGTGAGTTGTGGTCTATCATCATTAATCAAGTACGGAGTACGTTCTAATATCCATGAAAAGTTTATTTGGACTTCGGGAAATTCTATTCACAACCATTTAATTAAATATAATAAATAAAATTGATTGAAATATCTAAATTACCCTTACAACCAAATCACTCGTCGAAATAGGTCATCTGTTACTTCCGCAGAAGGAAACGACGAACAGCGATGCAGCCGTGAAATCCTTCCCGGCAGTCTCCTTAAAGCGGCTGTGGCTTGGAGGAACTGAACTTGGAGTCTTTCCGACAGATTGCTCAACAGAGGGAAGGTAGTAAGGGCAATGATATGCCCTCAGGACAATTCAGCTCCTACTTCACACAAATGGGAAGATATTTTTGAGATGTTCTTTGATCTTGTTGGGGGGTTGATTAGGTGTCTCTTAGACTGAAGGCGATTACATGTATAATGCTTGTATTTATTGCCATACTACTTCCTCCGTATCACATATATCTTCCCACTTCCAAAGTGGGTGAGATTAAGAATAGTGAAATGAGGTATGAAATATTGAGAGTATGATAGGAAGATGGTGAAATAATGTGATGGAATGAAGGATAAATCCAAAAAAAGTAGGTGTAGTAGTGTATTATTTTTTAAATTATTGAAGGTATGATTGGAAGATTTAGAAATGAGAAGATATAAATGTTACGTCCAAAAAAAGGAAAGTTGGAAGATATGAATGTTACGGAGGGAGCATATGTCTATACCTACTTTTGGCAAGTTTTATTTCATCTTTTTGGGACTTAAGGGCAGGCCCGCTTATGATGTTTTTACTTGAATTGTTTTCAGTTGCATACTAGATCAGACCTGACTTTCGTAGTTATAAAATACACAGAGACCAGATATTTACCAGAACAAATCAAACTTAAACAGACCAGACCAGAACATCAAATTTCAGTCCAAGTAAAAACATCCTTTGACTCCCTTTGAGTAGTTGAGTGTGCCATTTGTGTAGCCTACAGTCTCGGGTTTAGTTCTCATTGAAACCTGTTTGAGAATATGAACATGAATTTTAACTTTAAGCAAAACATTTACGGAGTATGATTTATTATTATGAGGTTAAACATCGTTTCCTACTTGCGATTAAGAATTTATGATTACTTGCTGGAATGGGTGAATTATATCACCACTCCTATTTTTGTACTGGTATTACCCAAAAAGCAGCCACCGGGAAGAGTCTACCCTAAGAATAGTAGCCAGTCTCCATTTCTAAAGTCTTCTAATTTTTATACTTATGTGTTTGACCACTTCTTTTTGACACCTTCATATAAGTGATATCACACTTTTTAGGAGCTGAATTTCTTAGCTGTATACGTACTACTTCCTCCTCCGTCCCAAAAAATCGACCAATTTGACTTTTCTTAGTTAATGGTGATCAAATTTGACCAATTTTTTAATACAATTTTTTCTAAATATGAAATTATATGAGTATATTCTTTATTTTTTTTATTTATAAAAGTATAAAACTTATAAGTTACGCACAAATATAATAATACATAGAATCATTGTCTAAGCTTTAACATCATTGGCCAAAAATAGTTAAATTGATCAATCTCTTCGGGACGGAGATAATATTTGACACAATATTTTCTAAGAGCTGTTACACAAATCTATGTTTTTCTTTTCAGAAGTTACCCTAATTAACTGATGAAATACGAAGTATAGTTATTTATATTTTAGGGAAAATGGAAACTAATAATCTAACCTTTTAGCGGTTTTCTTTTAATAGCCCCACCTTTTCGTTATTCATGAATAATCCAACCTTTGCACCTCATCTTCATTCACTGGTCCCTGACCGGTTGATGACCTGCTATTCCAAGTTATTTTCTCATCTTTGCAAAATATTATCTTTGTCAAAGGTGGAATTTATGGTATAATAGTTTGCAGAGATAAGAAAATAACTCGGAATAGCAGGTCATCAACCGGTCGGGGACCAATGAATGAAGATGATGTGCAAAGGTTGGATTATTCATGAATAATGGAAAGGTCGGACTATTAAAAGAAGACCGCTAAAAGGTTGGATTATTAGTTTCCATTTTCTCTATATTTTATTGATTTTGACATTAATTCATTGATCATAATACTTCGTAACTTGTTATGCACTTATGCCAAACAATATGACATCATCCACTCACGTTTTTTAAGAACCGAAATCTTTCGAGCTTTTCAATTAGTAAAAGATAACACGCTTTAAAATCATCTTTCGAGCAATTTTAACCTCTCAAGAGTATTGCAAAAACGCGACATAGGTTTGGTGTACAACTACACATAGCTCAACTCCTTTGAGAGTGCAAGTAATTTTAAACAACAGGAAAATTGTTGGTGTACACCCGGGTGACACCTTGAGTTACACCCTATCTATTTGCCATTCGCACAGACAAAAATGTAAAAATACATACACTTTCGATAAAACTGTTGGTGTGAATAAAATTAGTTTTCAGATCTGCCAGGCTGGTTGCATGGAAACCAATGTCGGTGTACACAGACATTAGTTGTCTGTGTAGACAAAAAAGTGCCGGTGAACAAAATTGGTTTGCAAGTCTCTCAAGGGGTTGGGAAACCAGTGTCGGTGTACACAAACATTAGTTGTCTGTGTACACATACACTGAAAGCAAACCAATGTCGATGTGCATAAAAAGTAAAAAGAGAGAATTAAAGAAGAAGAAGAAGAAGAAGAAGAAGAAGAAGAAGAAGAAGAAGAAGATGAACAACAATATGATTCAAAGGAATCGTTTCTAAACTTAGCTAATAAAACGTAAAAAGAAAGAAAAAGGGAGAAGGAAAAAAAATGATGATGAAGAAGGAGAAGGGAAGAAAGAAAGAAGAACAAGATGATGAAAAAGGAGAAAAGAAGAAGAAAGATGGGGGGTCGTATAGTGCAAAAGGGAGATAAGGGGAGAGAAGAGAGTGGGAAGGGAGGGGAGAGAGAAAAGTGGGAAGGGAGGAAATAAAAAATGGGGGCGGGGGCGGGGGGCTATATGTACCTAAAACATATATATGTGAAACAAAAAAAAATACAAAAGTTGTATTCTTCAATTTATTCATTTTTTTGCTCGACTTTTCATTTTGAGGTTTTCACATAGAAATGTCTTTATTTGTCTATCATATCTAAAATATTCTTAAGTTTTATGGAAGGATTAGATGAGATTGAAAATAAAGACTAATAAAATGTGATTTTAAGTGACTATATTATACCATTATTGAAGACAGCAATTAGGGATGCATTGCTGTATGATGTAGAGTGTTGGGCGGTGAAACAATGTCACATTCAAAAGATGAGTGTGGCAGAGATACGCATGTTGCGTTGGATATTGTGTGGGTATACTAGGAATGAGCACATGAGAAATGAGACAATTAGACAAAGCGTGGGAGTAGCACCTATTGAAGACAAGAAGTGGGAGTCGCGCCTACGGTGGTTTGGTCATGTGCGTAGAAGACCGAGTGATGCACCTGTCAGACGTGTTGAGATGTGTGGAGAAGAGGCAGAGAAGAGAGAGAGAGAGGAAGGCCCAAAAAGACGTGGGTTAGGAGAGTTCGAAGTGATATGCTTCTACTTGGGTTGGATGAGGGTATGGCTTAGGAGAGAGCAAAGTGAAGGGCAGATATTGGTGTGGAGGAGTGATCTCGTATTATTATTATTATTATTATTATTATTATTATTATTATTATTATTATTATTATTATTATTATTATTATTATTATTATTATTATTATTATTATTATTATTATTATTATTATTATTATTATTATTATTATTATTATTATTATTATTATTATTATTATTATTATTATTATTATTATTATTATTATTATTATTATTATTATTATTATTATTATTATTATTATTATTATTATTATTATTATTATTATTATTATTATTATTATTATTATTATTATTATTATTATTATTATTATTATTATTATTATTATTATTATTATTATTATTATTATTATTATTATTATTATTATTATTATTATTATTATTATTATTATTATTATTATTATTATTATTATTATTATTATTATTATTATTATTATTATTATTATTATTATTATTATTATTATTATTATTATTATTATTATTATTATTATTATTATTATTATTATTATTATTATTATTATTATTATTATTATTATTATTATTATTATTATTATTATTATTATTATTATTATTATTATTATTATTATTATTATTATTATTATTATTATTATTATTATTATTATTATTATTATTATTATTATTATTATTATTATTATTATTATTATTATTATTATTATTATTATTATTATTATTATTATTATTATTATTATTATTATTATTATTATTATTATTATTATTATTATTATTATTATTATTATTATTATTATTATTATTATTATTATTATTATTATTATTATTATTATTATTATTATTATTATTATTATTATTATTATTATTATTATTATTATTATTATTATTATTATTATTATTATTATTATTATTATTATTATTATTATTATTATTATTATTATTATTATTATTATTATTATTATTATTATTATTATTATTATTATTATTATTATTATTATTATTATTATTATTATTATTATTATTATTATTATTATTATTATTATTATTATTATTATTATTATTATTATTATTATTATTATTATTATTATTATTATTATTATTATTATTATTATTATTATTATTATTATTATTATTATTATTATTATTATTATTATTATTATTATTATTATTATTATTATTATTATTATTATTATTATTATTATTATTATTATTATTATTATTATTATTATTATTATTATTATTATTATTATTATTATTATTATTATTATTATTATTATTATTATTATTATTATTATTATTATTATTATTATTATTATTATTATTATTATTATTATTATTATTATTATTATTTGATGGAGTATATGGCCCAGAAGCCCCCGGCCCATAGACTCCTACTTCTCCTACATAAGCCCATTGAGCTCAGGAAACAACTCAGGCCCAAATACAACGGCCCAAGCCTCAAAGTAGCCCAGAATACACACTGGGGTGCCTTCGGCCTCCTTGGCCGAAGGCTCCAAAACTCACAGGATAGCCTTCTCTAGCATAAGAAGCCGCTGGGAGAAAACGGGCGAAAACATGAGCCCTCGGCAGTCTCATGCCCTCAGCACCAGGGGAAGCCTTCGGCTGAACCAAGCCTCCGGCTACACGAGAAGCCCTCGGCTACACGAGGAACCCTCGGCTGCACAAGGAGCCCTCGGCTACACAAGGAGCCTTCGGCTGAACAAGCTCAATCATCGAAGATTCCTTTTAGAGACAGCCAACCACCGCATTTAATGCCACGTCACATCCGCCAACCGCATTCAATGCGGTTGACGTACCACTGCCGGTGCCACCAGGCTGATGTGACCCTTCGGCCGTTGGATTACTGACACGTGTCCCCTCATCGCATTTATTGCTGCTATAAATAGCAGCCCATTTCTCCTTATAATGGACAGAATCTACATCTCAACTCCACACGCTGAGTTCATTTAATAAAATCGACTCTCTCTCCTCCTATTTACTCTGACTTCTCTCTAGTTATTCTCGCAATAACCCCTCGGATAAGATACCCCCCGGGTAGACTTTCCATCATTTGGTGCTCTCGTTGAGAGGTCAGAACAATCAAGTAAGAAACCCTCCCCCTCTACCAAACACAAAATACTTACCAAAAATGGGAAGAACCACCCGTGCCCAGTCCAAAACCCTTGAGGAGAACCACATAGCCCCCGGCGAAACCAACGGGGCTGAGGCCTCAAACAGGCTCTTAGTACCCGAGGGTGGTGTCATCCTTGAGTTGGAGCAGGCCACCGCTGACCTCCGTCAGCAGCTACAGAAGAACGCCCCTGATGCCCGCATTGGCCTTGATAATCGAAGGAGGGATCGGAGTGAGAACCAAGTTCCCCCTCCGGCCCCGGCCATCGATCTTCAGGCAGCCTTTGCGGCCTTCGTTCAAAACATGGCTCTCAATTCCGGAGCCCTCGCCTCTCAGACACCCCTCCAGCCCTACGCTGGAGGAAATGTTATTCAATTGCCACCGCTCCCTCCTTTGTTCAACAATCCTTCCCCGGGGATTGGCAATGCCGAGGGAGTCATGGCGCAGGATACCGCCTCCCAAGAGGCCCAGTCCAGGGACAAGCGCCCCATGATGAAAGAGAAGCCCCGAACCTCTGCACTTGAGAGGCTCGGGGGAGCTCCCGGGCACCGAGTGGTCCAAGACCGCCTCGGGAAACAAGCGCTCAGCAGGCCCCAGGAAAGTGGAGCCTCCGCTTTGGGTGCCGAGGGCGTGCCCCCCCCCCCCCCCCCCCCCCGAAGCAAAGGCAAAGCTCTCCTCCATGCCGATGATGCCAGGCACCAAATCACACAGGCGCAATCCTTCCGGGCCAACTCCCAAGGGGTTGCCCCGAAGGATCCCAAGGACGAAATCATTGAAGCCCTCCTCCGTCAACTCGAGGAAAATCGTCAGGCACCCCCGACGGCTTCCAAAGCAAGGCCGGATCCTGAGTACGCCGACCTCCGGGCGCAGGTGGAGGAAATGAAGCGTAAGCTTGCCGAAGGCTCAGGCGAGCCCCTCATTCAACTCCGTACTAGAACACCCTTCACCCCAAGGGTGTTGGCGGCCAAAATCCCCCACAAATATCGGGGGCAACCCATCAAGCCGTATGAGGGGAAGACGGATCCCCAGGAGCACTATAGCCGCTATCAAAACAGCATGATGATGATGGGGGCATCGGATGAATACTTATGCCGTTGGTTCCTTTCCACCTTGGAGGGACCCGCGTATGAGTGGTTCAACCGATTGCCCGAAGGCAGCATTGATTCGTGGCAAAAACTTGCCCACCGCTTCCTCACACAGTTTGCCGGGAGGCACCGCTCAAAGAAACACTTCTCCCACCTTCTGAATGTGAGACAACAGAAGGAGGAAACCCTTCGGAGTTTCCTAGAACGCTGGAGGCAGGCCTCCCTCGAGGTCGAGGGCGCCGATGACAGGACCCTGATGGCCCTCTTCCACACCGTCCTCCGCAATGGTAACTTCTCCCGGAGCCTTATCACTGATCCCCCCCGCGATTATACAAAGGCCCTTCAGCGGGGGGACCGATACGCTGAAGCGGAGGAAATCGAGAAGGACCGCCGCAACACGGATCCTTCTCAGAAGAATGAAGGCAGGAACCGGCCCGGAGGGCCTCCCCCTCCGGTCCACCGAGAGGCACAGTACAACGATCGCTCCCGGGGTGGCCAAGCCAGACCCGGGGGGCGGTTACAAGAACAATCTGAAGGCTTGGGCACAACCCGTCCTCCTGGAGCACCCACGCACTCCCCTGACACACCCCGTCAGCGTCATTCTTGATCATGCGGAAGAGCGGGGGCTCGTTGAGCGAGACTCCCGCACACCCCTCGAGATTTATGCCATCGGTCCTGATGAGCCCTACTGCCGCTTTCACTGCCACCACGGGCACAAGACCGACGACTGCCACCAACTGAAAAACGCAATTGAGAGGCTGGTACAGGCGGGCCACTTGTCTCAGTTTATCAGGGCCCCCCCTCCCCAGGGCCTCCTTCACCATCAAGGGCCTCCGCCGAAGGCAAACAAATGGGTGAACCCCAACACCATCCCTTTGGGAAACCCACAGGGGAAGAAGCGTGAAATTGGGGGCCTCGACGACGAGGGAGAGGGCTCCCACCAACAATACAAGCGCCACATCCACATGATTAATGGTGGCAACACTGGTGGAGACTCCACCAGCCAGCGGAAGAAGTGGGCTCAATCCCTTTACGTTGGGGAGGTCAACCACGCGCCCCCAACTAAGAGGCCGAGGGGAGAACCCATCTTCTTCACAGATGCAGACCTACCCTCGGGTTCTCTGCCGCATAGGGATGCCCTTGTTATCCGCACTGAGATCAATGACG